AACAAAAGTCATTTTGCCTTAAATGTTGGCGAAAGTACGATGCTTTTGATTTCATTTAAAAGTGAAAAAATAAGCTGTTTCAAGGCAGGTAGATATAATAATGTACTGGGAATTTGCCCAGGCGAAGGAAAAGAAAGGCTTAACTCCCAAACTGAATGGGATAGAAATAGAATCAGTGCTCTCAACCTAAAAATAGGCCCAAAGTTCCCACAACTCCCTGTCAGATTCGCCCTTTAAGCAAGCCTTTATCCATATCACTAACCTTTTCTACCCAAAACTGTTTGTCCTTAGGTCCAAGAATCCAAGGTAAATTAAAAAAAATATATCTTATTAATTTTTTTAGAGTTTACAAAGTGCCTTTATATTCATTCTTTCTTTTAATTCCTGCAATAACAGTGGAAAATAAGCACCATGCTTAACATAATATAAAATATACATTATGTACATAATTGAGGGTAGGATATACATTATCATTGGAACTCTGTCTCTTACCTCCGTTTCTGTATACATGTTGACTTTCTTCTTTGAAATAAGCTTTCTGCAGCAGCAATGTCCTTCCCTCAGTACTAGTTTCAAAATTGCTATAGCAAGACTTTGCCCCTGCTTACACCAAATGTTCATACTAACACACTACTAATCACACTACTAGTCACTATTAATCACTGTGTCTCAGAAGGGCAGGGTCATGTAGGAAGATAGTTCTCAATTGGAACCAATGTTTAGAATAGCAGGAAGGAGAGTAGTTTCTCAAATTAAGGGAGAGGGTAACAGACATGGCCGCTTGGGGGAATTGTGAGTTGGATAAACATCCCGATTTGTGTCTATTTATATTCATTTGTTTAATCTATTGATTTAAGTTTGTGCTCTTATCATTCATCTATTCGTGAGTATCACATTCAGCTCTCTTTTCCTTGCTCTAGTTCTCATTGCTACTTGATGCTTTATGTTTTATCACCATCTCAAAGGGAATTTTAAAATTCCCAAGTTTTGAGTGTCATTTCCCCAAGAGTCTAGGTTTTATACTTCAGTGAAAGTTGCTCTTTTTTAAAAAATAGATTTTATTTTTTCGAGTTGTTATAAGTTCACAAAAAAAGGAGCAGGAAGTACAGAGTTTCCATGAACTGTTTGCTCCCACGATATCTTATTCATTTTTTATTTTATAGCTTTGTCCAATCACTAATATTGCAACATGCATGGAATATGATTGTATTTGAAACATTTTTCATGTTTTGCTTTATTATATTTTTTTCCAGAAAAATTAAACAGGTTTATTTGTAATTGTTATAAAATTGAACTGCTGAAACTTGTTCACTGAAACATTCTGACTTGCATTAATGCTTTATTTCCCCACATTTATATTAAAAATTCATACACAAATGAAAATGGAAAAACTGCCAATACTCGATTTCTGTCCCCTATGTTTCCACTTGCAGTCATATACTTAGGTACCTTTTGATCTCATGGGAAAAAAAAAATCTAACGTTCAGAACTACCAATAACAGGAAGAATATAATTTTTTTTTGAGAATGAAATGTTTCCCATCATAGTGGATTCTTTTTTTTTCAGAATATTATGGGGGTACAAACATTTTGGTTACACGTAATGCCTTTGCCTCGCCCAAGTCAGGGCTACAAGCGTCCCCTTCCCCCATACAGTGCGCTCCGCATCCATTAGTTGTGAGTTTACCCCCCCCACCTGACCGGCACCCAATGAGTATTACTACCATGTGAGCACCTTAATGTTAATCAGTTAGTACCAATTTGATGGCGAGTACACGTGGTGCTTGTTTTTCCATTCTTGTGATATCTCACTTCGAAGGATGGGCTCCAGTTCTATCCAGGCTGATATAAGAGGTGATAGTTCACCATTGTTTTTTGTAGCTGAGTACTATTCCATGGTATACATATACCACATTTTATTAATCTACTCATGTATTGATGGGCACTTGGGTTGTTTCCACATCTTTGCAATTGTGAATTGTGGTGCTATAAACATTCTAGTGCAAATGTCTTTTTTATAGAATGTCTTTTGTTCTTTTGGTTAGACGCCTAGTAGTGGGATTGCTGGATCAAATGGTATGTTTATTTTTAGGTCTTTCAGGTATCTCCAAATTGCTTTCCACAGGTGTTGTACTAATTTGCAGTCCCACCAGCAGTGTAAGAGTGTTCCAATGTCTCCACATCCATGCCAGCATTTGTTGTTTTGGGACTTTTTGATAAAGGCCATTCTCACTGGAGTTAGGTGATATCTCATTGTGGTTTTGATTTGCAGTTCCCTAATAATTAGAGATGTTGAGCACTTTTTTATGTGTTTGCTGGCCATTCTGTCTTCTTCATAGTGGATTCTTAAGCTCGTTCTTTACACATGTGATGTGCTAGCTGGATGTCTTTTGGCATAATTGTTACACATTTGGCATGGATAGCACATGGGTGGGTGTCTTCAAAAAGACCAACAAGATAGGCCTCACCTGCCTCCTGCAAAGCACCAACAGGTGTGCTCTGGAAGTCCGGATCTGTGTGGAAGTCCAGAGCAATTCAACGCACCAGACGCTGGGAAGGAACTTTGCGAATCAGAAGTTCTGTGGCCTTCTGACAATGTCTAATTTCACCGAGTGCCAGGCTACCAGGCCTGTAGCTATGAGGTTTCTTCACCCCTCCAGTAGAGGGCGCACTCTTCCCCTCGGCTTTTGTAGCCAGCTGCCTCCTGGGTGCTTTACCGCGGGTGCATTGGCGAGCAGTCTGCTTTCCACAAGCTGCTGTTTACCCCTCTGCTCTTTGGCTGGAGCTTGGCGACCTGGAGGCGACGCTGGCGTTGGAGACCGGCGCGGCGGTGGCCCGTTCCGTGCGTACTCGTCATCAAGCCCTCAAGCCCAGGTTTGGGGCGCCAAGAGGGACGTGGGGGTGGGGAAGGAGCGGAATAGGTGCGGCGGGTGAACGCCCGGCCTGCGGGCATCTCAGGTCGCGGGAAGGGGCTTATTCAGCTTTAATCCGCCATCTTGAGGCTGATGACTCCTGACTCTACCCTCCCGGCCTAGGCTTCCTTCCCTCCTTGTGCATACAGCGGTCTGATGGACGTAATTTGGATGTTCTGCTGACCCTTCCAACCCAACATGTCTATGAATGGGAATCAGAATCTTGTCCCCCTCCTTACAACCGGCTTGTCTTTTTTTGTTTCCCATCTAGGTGAAGGTTGTACCGTTCACTCAGTTACTCGAGCCCCAAATCTCGACATTGATTATCCTCATCTTTCCTTTCTCACCAAGCACACTCTGAATAATTGTTATGTCTTGCTCCTAAATTCTACCCTTATTCTTGCTATCATTGCTCCACTTCAGTCTCATCATTCCTGACTTGGATTACTGTAACAGAGTCCTAGGTCCTCTGCTTCTATTCTTGTTCAAATCGAGTTCTTTTACAAAGCCTAAGTGATCCTTTTAAAATGCAAATCTGACCTTGTTCTGCTGCTCAAAACCTCTTTGAGGCTTCCCTTACCTCCAGGAAAAAACCCCCAAGATCTTAACTGATGTGGTCCCTGCCCATCTTTCCAAAACCATCTCCCATTGTCCCCAGCACAAATTTTGCCTCCAGCTTTCTTGACTGGAACTTCTTGAAGAGGTACGGTAGTTTAGTGATTAAGAGCACAGACTTAGGTGCAAATCAAGGCTTCCCCAGCTGGGGCAGGTTGTACTTAAACTCTGAGTCTCACTTTCTTTATTTGTAAAAAGGGGGTAACCCAACTCCTTCCTAGGATTATTATGAAAAGGATCTATGATAATGTTGGCAAAATGCTTGGCATAGAGTAAGCATCTTGTAGGCAGCGATGTCTTGTTAACATCTGGCCATGCTATTCCATTCCTCATTCATTTTGCATAGTGCCCTCCTTCTTTGTCTTTTAAATTCTTCTATGTAGCAATTACTTATAACTGCCTACTATGTGCCTGCATTGTTCTAGAAGCTGAGGGAATCATTGGTGAAGTGGAATGACATTCTGATCCAATTAATTCCTCTCTATGCTTCAATTAATTCCTTTTCTATGCTACCTTTTTTACCTTCCTAAGGAGTAGGCTTTGTGCTATCATTTCTTCTTGAATATTATTGTAATTCCTTTGTTTCCATTATCAATTTATCATGCTAAAGAGTTACTGATTACTAATGGACTCTGCTGTTGGACTGTTGTGTAGGGACTGTATTTTATCAATTTGTGTACATTCAATGCCTAACAGTGTTTGATAATCATTCATTTAAATACATAGGGTATGCACACAGATGTTCAGTGAATGTTTCTTGGATGAAAATAAAAATATCCCGTATATAGTTTTATTTCATCTTTTAATTATAAGTACACAGTATTTCAGTTCCCTTTGGCTTTTAGGGCTATCCTAGGAAACTGTCTCCTAATTCTACTTGTTTTCACAGAAAATAAGTGACATTTGAATTCAAATAACAAACTTTAAAATGAAGCTTTGGAGTCTAATTCTTGGGATCTACTTTTCTTTTTCTTTTTTTACCCCCCTCCCTTTTTCTGGGATCTACTTTTCTAGTGTGAGAAAATTCCATGCCAGGAGCATTGCAAGGATCTGACCTGATAACCTTACATTATTTTTATTTCTATTTCCATGTTTTAAGATTTTATCAAAATCCATTTTTAAAGTGCTGGCCTTTTACTGGCTTTTATGACTTTTTTTCAGAATATTATGAGGATACAAACATTTCGGTTACATGGAGTGCTTTTGTACAATTTGAGTCAGAGTTATAAGTGTGCCCATCACCCAGATAGTGTGTGTTGTGCCAGTTAGGTGTGAATTTACCCATCCCCTCCTCCCCTGCTTGATTTCCGTTGACTTTTACTTCCATGTGTGCACATAAGTGTCAATCAATTAGTTCTAATTTCATAGTGAGTAAAGTTTATTTCTTTCAATTACATATTTTCTGCTACGTGCTCATTGAGTGCTTGTTTTGACAATTTTTTTTCTTTCTTTTTTTTTTTCATTCTTTCTACAGGCTTCGTTCCCTGGGAACCTGCATTTGGTTTTGGTTTTACGTCCTACCAGTTTTCTTCAACGAACTTTCACAGACATTGGGTTTCGATTTAGTCAAGAGGATTTCATGCTCAAATTACCGGTAACAGTATATTATTTAAATTCTTTGCCCCTTTAATTCTCACGAAGACTTTGTGGCATTCTGTTTATATTTTACACGTGCCCATGTAGCATTTAAAAGAAAAAAATAAAATTTGTCTTTCAAAAATGTAGATTTGAAATGCTCAAGTCTTCTACTTCTGTTTAAAAGAGGTATAGATTCATCAATATATTACAAAGCAATTCCTTTTGAAAAAGATGTATGTCATGTGTTATACGTATGTGTATATATGTGTGTATGCATGTGTATATGTATGTATGTGTATATAATCAGGACATTTTAGTAAAAATGTGTGTTTTATGTATTTGAATTCCCATGAGCTTACATCCTGAGCTAGTTCAGAGTGCCATGTTCTTTTTTTATTTTTTATTGTTATTTTTTTTGAGACAGAGTCTCACTGTTACCCTGGGTAGAATGCAGTGGTGTCATCATAACTCACTGCAACCTCAAACTCCTGGGCTCAAGCAATCCTCCTGCCTCAGCCTCCCGAGTAGCTGGGACTACAGGCACCCTCCACCATGCCTGGCCAACTTTTCTATTTTTAGTAGAGACAGAGTCTTGTTCTTGCTCAGGCTGGTCTAGAGCTCCTGAGCTCAAGCGATCCTCCTGCCTTGGCCTCCCAGAGTGCTAGGATCATAGGCATGAACCACAGTGACCAGCTCTCTTTTTTTTGAAAGATGTTTTTATATGTGTTTAGGGTTAGGAATAGAGTACTCATAAATTTTAATACTTTTGAAAATATAAATTCCTCCTGATAAATTATAACTTAGTACATAAAGTCATTTTACTTTGTTGTGGGTGTAGCATTCTTTCAGAAGCTTGACCATTAACAATACAAACTTTTAGATGAAGGAGAATTAGGTGTTTTGGTTTCTATGGAGATTGATTTTTCTCTACAGATAAATCTTTTGTAAATAAAACCGTTATTACCTGAAGAAGGTAGTGCATACATGAGTGGGGGCATGTACAGGAGAGAACTGTTAAGAACCATTTCTAAAAGCTAACTTTCTGCTAAATATATGCTGAAGTTCATTTTACAGTTTAATGGAGGGATGCCATGAAGGGCAGTTAACAGTATCTTTCTTGCTTATTTATATAGGTTGTTATGCTGAGCTCAGTTAGTGATTTGCTGACATACATTGATGACAAGCAATTAACCCCTGAGTTAGGCGGCACCTTGCAGTACTGCCACAGTGAATGGATCATCTTCAGAAATGTATGTTGCTTTTGCCCTTACTGTAGAGCCTATAGTTCTTTATGTTAGTTTTTGCATCTAGTTCTAGAAATTTTTCCTATTTGAAAAAAACAGATTTCTGGGGCTCCTACTTTTCAAATACATATATAATTCAATATCTTGATTTTCTTCCATAGGAAATATCTAGAAATGACGAAGAGTCACTGAGGATGGCAATTGAAGGAGAGGCCTAGGGATTAAGGAGATCATACTCTGCCCACCCCCTCCTGTGGCCATGTAGTAACTTGAAGAAACAAAGGGTTTGGGGTTCACATCCTGGCAGTGCTGATTTTTAGCTCTATGACCTTGGACAATATCCATAATCTCTCTGAGTCTTAGTTTTCCCAACTATAAAATGTGAATAATAGTACCTTACCTCATAGGGATCTTGGGAAGATTAAATGGGATAACAAATGTAAAATGTTTGGCACAGTGCCTAGTAAATGGCAAATCCTCAATAAATGCAAGTATATTATTAATCTTATCATCTTAGTGATGCCCCTGGGGCAATTAGATTTGTAGCAGAGTCCTTTTGTTGTCGAAATTTACAAATAGGTGAAGGCCTTGCCACCTCTCAGGTGTGAGTCTGTGGTCTAATTATCTTGACTTCAAATCCCAGAGATATGGGACTCCTTCTGAAGAAAATAATGATGTTTCATTAAATCAGGGTTCCATTTTACTCATCCCTATTCTTCATCCAACAGTTCATTCAACAATTCATTCATGTGAAGATGTATTGTCAAAATTAGCAATGTCTAGCCTTTAATAACCTATAAAGCTATAAATAAAAAAGCTGTATGATAAACAGATGGTTCGTATGGTCTCTACATTTTGGCCTTCTTTCTGTGAGTAACTGACTTTGGAAACAAAATAAACAATAAAACCTTACTTGCCATTTTAGGGCAACAGAGCTTTTGGGACCACAATTCTAAATCTATAGCACCTGAAATGAATTGTTGTGACTAGTTGTTCTTCCATTACCTTAGACCATCACCTTGTGTGGAATGCCAATGCTTGTTCATAAGTGATAATAAATATAAAGTGACTTTGGTGTTCTCATCTCTCTTCAGAAGTGAAGTTATTATAAAACATTTTTCTCAATTACAGAGTTTATAGGATAAGGAAAACACTATGATTTTCAAGGGCATAAAACAAATTACTCAGTACATGGCATCTTTAAGAAATAGTTTTTATCAGTGTCGAAGAAATAAGTAAAGAAATTTAGATAAAAGACATTCAGGAAGACTCTTAACATTGCTTTGGTTTCTTAGAGGCTAGATGCAAAGTTGGAGTTGATTGCCAAGGGCAATGCCAAATTTCCCTAGCAGAGGAGAGTTCATAGTATAAGTGTTTGCTATTATACCCAAATAAATACAATTACTGATCCAGGTTTTGATAAGCTAGCAGAGTTCCCATAGAATTAAAAGAATCACTGACTCTTTGCAGGCTATAGAAAATTTTGCCCTCACAGTGAAGGAAATGGCTCAGATGTTACAGTCCTTCGGAACTGAACTGGCTGAGACAGAACTACCAGATGATATTCCTTCAATTGAAGAAATTCTGGCAATTCGTGCTGAAAGGTATCATCTGTTGAAGGTATGTCTGATAGAGTGGACAGACTAAAGTTTCCTGTGTTTTTTCTTTTTCTAGAGATGTGTTTAGTGTGTCCATTTCACACTGATTATTGCATAAGGGGTGATAAAAGACATTTTTTTTTATTTCAGCATATTATGGGGGTACAGATGTTTAGGTTACGTATGTTGCCCTTGCCCCTCCTGACATTTTTATATAAACTATAAAAATACTACTTTATAAGAGAAGAATGTGATACGTATGTTGAATCCAAGTGCCCCCTTTGTAAACGGTGCATTATCTTGAGAAGTTGTTTATTTGTAAATAGAATAGTTATAGATGCTCCAGAGTAAGAAATCTCCAGTCTTTTTTTTTTTTAACCTAGTGGTGCACCACATAAGGTGTGGCATATATGACAGTTTTCCCATAAGATTGTAATACCACATTTTTACTGTGCCTGTTCTATGTTTAGATATGTTTACATACACAAATACCATTGTGTTACAGTGGCCCACAGTATTCAGTACAGTAACATGCTGTACAGGTGTGTAGCCTAGGGGTAATAAGACTATACCATTACAGGTTTGTGTAAGTACACTGTAATGTTCGTGCTATAATGAAACCTAATGGCGCCTTTCTCAGAACATATCCCCATTGTTAAGCAATTCATGACTGTATTCTTTATCTTATGGAAAAGCCCTCTCCTTTGGAAATCAAGGGTGAGAATCAAGGGTGCTCTCTTTTAACCTCCACTTCAGATACAGCGTGAAATGGGAGAAGGAGAACTTGAGGAGTCAGGAGGCCTAGTTTCTTGTCCCATCTCTGCTGTGAACTGGCATTGTGACCAAGGCCAACAATGCACAATTGATTACAAGTTCCCTTTTCTGCGGAGTACTAGTTCTTGATGTTTTCTCCAGTAGCCCAGAAATGGCAAATTGATTTTGTTCTCCTACCTAGTTCTCTCTGGAATGTTGTGTTGTGATGAATTCTGAGGCACAGTTCAGGCAATTAGCAAGTACTTTCAGATCCACTTTCCTCAAAAAGTTAAAGAACCATCTGAACAAGCACCAGGCACCCATATATAGCTCATCTTCTTCATCTGATAATAGACATGCTGGCAGATTCAAGTGCTATGTAGAGATATATGTTTAAATTAAGAAAAGAAACTGAATTTTTGACTCACAATCTAAAAGCAAAACTCTGTCCAAGGAAGAAAGCTCTGCCCCTCACAAACTGTGTGTTGGGCAATTTGCTTACCGTTTTTGAGTTCCAATTTCCTTATCTGTACAATGGGGCTGATGATGATGATACATGCATACCTCGTTGAGGTGATGTGAGGATGAAATGAGGTAAGTATGTGATGTATGTACAACAATGTTTGGTACATAGTTGGCACTTCATAAATATTAGCTCTTAATGTTTATGTTCTTACTCATATTGGTGGTGATATCATAGAACTGGTTCCCAGAAAAATACATGTACACCCAAACTTTGGCTTATAGGTTCAGGGGGCTCTTGGATCTACTGAAGGAGGTCTTAGATCACCCTTAGCTACCTGAGGAAGGTCTGTGTTCTTAGATCACTCTCGAAGGTTAAGATTTTCTGAATAGAGACATGCTTCATGATGAATTAACTAAATCCAAATGTGAAGTAAAATAAGACTTATGGCAGGGAGTGATTGGTAACAATTAGGGATAAGTAGAAAAGGCATCTAAGTGTATCTGAATATGCATTAAATATTACTCGTAATTGTATGCTTTTTAGTGTGAGTCTTTATTGTGCTACTACTGCTTTATTTGAGCATTTTAAAAGTATTAACAGAATAGAATGGAATGGATTGGAACTTTCTATCAGTAAGAAAGAGGCTACAAACAGAACACATGATACTGCTGCCTGTAACTATTATAAAAATTGTGATTGCAACATCCATCTCCAAGACAGGGGCTTCTTGGGTCCTCACAGCTTTTGGATTCTGTGGTACTGAAGTATTCCTTGATTTGTCAGACAGCTATGAAAGCAAAGGCCATTCTAGAACTAATATTTCTATTCGGCGTGCTATGGGTGTATGCTCCCTTCTCATCCTGTCATTCAGGTGAGATTGCTAATTGGCTGATGCATCCTGTTGTGCTTTTGGACAGGATGATATTACAGCTGTAACCAAAGAAGGAAAAATTCTGCTAACAAATCTGGAAGTGCCTGACACTGAAGGAGCTGTCACTTCAAGACTAGAACGTCATCAGCAAATAACTGGTGACTGGCAAACTATTAATAAGTGAGTACGCCCTTTTTGGTTTAGAGTTACTTATTTTATTTTTTGAAAGGGAATTACACATTTTTACTGCAATCTCTTAAGTGTGAAAGTATTCCTAGACCTCTGGAAATCTGAGATCTTCTTCCTGGGTTGTCCCACAGAAATTAGTTTGCTTGTAGAAGAGGTTCTGTGGACTTTGATTGTTTCTATGTGAACCAAGTGTCATAGGCTATGACTTTGCCTGTAATCCTTAATGTTCAGACCAGGTTTATCTACATACTTACAAAACAGATGGTTGTTCTTGAGCAACTCTTTGACTTTTCTTTGTTAAGATTGCTGACTCAAGTACGTGATATGGAAACAGCTTTTGATGGATTTTGGGAAAAACACCAATTAAAAATGGAGCAGTATCTGCAACTATGGAAGTTTGAGCAGGATTTTCAAGAGGTCAGTTAAAACATTTCTTTATACCTTTCTTTTCATCATGCCAGAGTTCCTTACTCCTTGATCATCAGAAATCCAGTCTTGCAAGATGCCCATTTATGCTTATAGAGAGGACAAAAGGAGACAAGTATACGTGAACCTTGATTTAGACTAAAGAAAACCACCACTGAAATTCCAAGACTTCTACTTGTTTGGCTCACTCATTCCTATAAGCGAGTACTTATAGTGCCAACATATATGAGAGGGATACTCTGTACCTTGAGGTTTGTATTGAGATTTATCTTAGGTCTAAAGTGCATTCAGGCTATGGGATGGCATTCCAAAAAAATAATACCAACTTCCTTCTTGGTTTTTAAATATCATATCCCTGTGCTGATCATATTTAATATGATATAACAACATTTTTTTCTGATCCAGGAATTTATTTCTATGCAAAGCCTGACAAATGAAATTAAATCAAATTTAGTTACATATAAATGATTAAAAGAATATTCCAGTAGGACCTTCCTGGAAAATATATATGCTCAAGGCACATAGATTTAGTTTCTTCCATTTCTTTTGCAGTCATGTCCAAGTTCTTTACAGTCTCTTTCATAGTGTGGACTTTACCAGAGGATCCAAGGAAAACTCACTTTTCTCTCTTGCATGTGCTCAGCTTGTTTCCTGCCTATGAATGGCTAACTTGCTTGGTATTTCATTTGCTATAGCAGAATTAGCTTTGGGAGAAACACTGCATTCTGGACACAGGGCTCAGTCACTGCCAGCCCTTTCCCTCCTTTGATTCAAACAGCTTTTGAAATCCCATGTTCTCCATGAAACCATCCTTAAAGAAAGGATAGGTCAAATTGTTCTTGGTCCTTTCAGTTATTTGTGCCTCTCCCCCCGCCAACTGAATACACACAAAATAGCACTTTTCCTGGACATTATGCATATACTTACATGTAAATTTGCTTCCATACTAAATTCTTGTCCTCTGGTTGTGTTCCGTTTCCCCAAGTCATTGATTGCTGTCTTTAATCAGTATTATTTGTCTTAGATTGTAACCTCACTGGCATGGGCTGTATCTCATAGTGACATATGGACAGGTCCTGTATGTTTAGGAGCTTACATTTTTTTAAAAGACAAAAACTTATTTGGAAATTCAAACTCACAGAAAAGTTACAAACATAAGAAAAATAGAAACACCCATATACCTTTTCCCCAGATTAACTTATTGATTGATAATATTTGTCTCATTTGTGTTATCATTTCTATTTCCTCCCTCATATATATATATATATATATACACACACACACACACACACACACACACACAGACACAGATAATATTTTTTCTGACAAATAATGTATTTTCTGACCCATTTCAGAGTAAGCTATATACATGGTGGCCCTTTCCTTCTAAATACTTCAGTTTTTTTCTAATAATAGAAATATTATCTTACATAACCACAGTACAGTCATCAAATTTAGTACATTTAACAGTAATGAAATACTTTCATATTATCTGCCATTGATATTCCAATTTTTTCAATTGACTAGATCAAGTCCTTTATAGCATTTCTTTTTCCTCCAGAACAGGATCCTATCTAGGGTCCAGTCTTGTGTGAAGTTGTCATATCTCTTCAGTCTCCTTGAATAGAGAACATTTCCAAGGCCTTCATCTTTTATGACGCTGACATTTTGAAGAATACAGTCCTTTTTGAAATAAAATGTTCTTCATTTAGAGTTTGATAACTTCTCATGATTATATTTAGTAGTATGACCAGCTAGAATACCACATTAGTGATGTGCATTTCTCGAGGTATCACATCTAGAGGTAAATGATGCCCACCTGCCCCTCATTATTGATATGGATTTTGATTACCCAGTCAGGGTGTTCTTAAATTTCTCCACTGTAAAGTTACCCCCCCACCACACACTTGTAACTAGTGGGAAATGTGTGGGGAGAAAATTGAAGGTCATGCAGCTATCCCTCTCCTCATCAAAATTTCCCCATAGATTGAGTATTAATTGATGATTTTTGCCTGGACCAGTCTTTACTATGATGGTTGCAAAATGATGATTGTTCAAGGTCAGTGTCCATTCCACATTTACCAGTCCACATTAGGCATTCTACTGAAGCAAGGGCCTTCCTTTCTCCCATTTTATTTGTTTGATTCCTGGTTTTTTGATGGCTTATAACTCATTAATGTTCTTAACTATTTTGGTGTTTCAGACTGCTACTGTATCCTTGTGACATGTTCCAACATTGTTTAAAATCCCTTCCTTACTTTCTGGTACAAAGAGATATTCCCAGCTAATCTTGTACTTATTCTGCCTCACCCCTGGAATCAGCCATTTCCCTGAGGAGCCTGTTTTTTTTTTTTTTTAACCTGGGAAATAGTATTAAAGATCAGTGTCTGGGTGCCAAGTGTGCTTATTGCTACTGGAGGGTCTTGGCTTCTAGGACCACTCACCATAGACCTGGTGACTATATATACATGTATACACACATATCAATACTTACATGTATACATACATGCAAATGCATATCCACGTATGTATACCTGCACATGTGCATGGTTATCTTTTATAAATCATGAGAACACACTGATACCTAAGAGGTTAAATTTTAACAGATTATTTTTGTGAATAAAATAACTGAAAATATTTTTCCATTTGTATAAATTTTCCATATTGGCATTCTTATTTAATAGCATTTCCTATAGAACTTGATCATAAAGGGAAAAGGCTTAAGAATTTGTATGTTTTTAAAATCTCTTTATTTCCTATTTTTAGCTCGTGACTGAAATTGAATTTCTATTAAACCAACAAGCAGAGCTGGCCGATGTAACAGGGAATATAGCTCAAGTAAAACAAAAAATAAAAAAGTTGGAAAGCTTAGATGAAAACTCTCAGGTAAGATTATGTTTTTGAAGTTTGCAGTATTTATGGAGTAGAATAGTTATGTTTTAGTGGGACTAGGCAGTATAAACCCTTACTATTAATCTCTCACAGCAATATCCTGTATTATAGTCATAACGATACGGGTCTATATTCTGTGTAGTTCCATGTGGGCCAGGGTGACACTGAGAATATGTCATGTAGTTGTACAGTGAGGCCTCTGAGATAAGGGTGTGAATATTTCAAGCTCACCACTAGGAAAAAGCATAAATCATTTTGGAGAAGCTAGAAAATGTCTATTGAGAATGATATTTGTTGCTTGGAAATGATGGGAACCTACAAGAACATAATTCCTTAAATGTCCACTATATGATACATGCAGTTGAACCAAATGTAGACTCACACAGACAGATCTACTTAGTCTTACTAGCTGTGTGACCTCTGGTAAAGTGATTTCTAAGCCTCAATGTCCGCATCTATAAATTGGTGATAAAATGACCTACTTTACAGAACAATTGTGAGGATTCATTTAGATGTATAAAAAGCACCTAGCACAGCATCTGGGATTGTATAGTAAGTACTCAAAAGAGTCAGTGTCATTACACCTGCTAGTCTTAAAGCTTGTGGACTCATAGCTTTAATGCTTAACAAACTCTAGCTTTACTCTGCTGTCTTGTATGTGAGAGCAAGGCCATGCTTTTAAAGATGAATTCTCAGCAAACAAATAGATTTGTGGGTGAACCACAAGCATGTACAAACTAAAATTGAGAGGCAGAAATTGTGGTAACTAGTTCTGGAATTATGCTTGTAGATCTCTGTGATTGTGGGACGATTTACACATCTTTATGGTATAATAGAGAAGGCAAACTAGCTTGGAAACTAGGAGGGGGAGGCTTTGACATTTTTTTGTTTGTTTTTAATAAGTTTTTCATTTCTAATTACAAAAAACGTGAAATTTGTTATCTTAATCATTTTTAAGCATTCAGTTCAGTAGTGTTAAGTATGTTCACATCATTGTGCAACAGATCTCCAGAACTTTTTCAACTTGTAAAACTGAAACTCTATAGCCCTTAAACGCCAACTCCTTATTTTAATCTTGGTTTTCCTACTAGCTAGACAGGCTAGTCCCTTCTTTCTGATCTTCAGTTTTCTTTATTTTACCTTGACAGACATTTCCTGAGCTTGTACTACGTTTCAGTCACTATACAGGGGCGGCGGGGAGTCAGTAGTTGACAGAGTAGAGGCAAGGCCACTAAGATCCATTTGACATGGAAACCCTGTGATGTTCACGTCAGGTGTGTTAAGTAGACCAGGAGCATGATGACTCTCATGAGATTTCTGAGGCCAGAATGATATGAAATACATTAGTTTTCATTTGGCTTGTATGTACCTCATTTGATATATGTGGTTCTGTTCTAAATCCATACAAACCAGGAGAAACAAATCTCATCCACATTCTGGGCGGGCTGGTTAATTTTCAGTTTCTGTAACCGGAAATGCATGAGCTTCTGATGACATTGCTGCTGCAGCTCATTACTGGAACTGTAAGCTTTTTTTGCAGCCTGTAGAAGTATGATGTCAAATTGTATTTTTGTCAATATATCTACCTTGCTCAAAGAATTTGCTTCTTAATTATTTTCTTCATTTTTCTTCTATACAAACAGAGCTCATTTAGTCATTGTTTCCTTTCTTTCTTAAAATCAGGATCTGTTAGCAAAGGCCCGATTTGTGATATTACATGGACACAGGCTTGCTGCAAATCACCATTATGCACTTGATTTAATCTGCCAGAGGTGCAATGAGCTACGTTACCTTTCTGATATTTTGGTTAATGAGATCAACACAAAACGGGTACAGCTCAGCAGGACCTTGAAAATGCATAAACTCCTCCAGCAGGTAGTGTGATGGGAAATGATCCATTTCTAAAAAAGAATATACTTTTTTTCCCTGGGTCCTCTCAGCCTGAAATACTTTGCCCTTATGCCCCGTGGTACATCTTTTATCTTCTCAGAGGTTATAAGGTCAGGTCTGGTATAGATTTGGAATTAAATTTGTAAGAAGTCTGAAGGACTGAGTTTAATTACGGTTTTTCAATCCATCTACCTACGCACTATTGATGGACGGTCCAGTATAGTATGAATTTTGCCCTCTCTGTTCTAAATATTGAGATTGTGATGGTAATGTTTTGGGTACATCTCTATAGTTTGCACTCAGAATACTTTTGAAATCTCAGAGGGCATCCTGCTAAAGCCTGAAACTCCTTCCTTATTTCATAGGACAGAACTAAAAAATTAAATGGCGACTGGAAAATATTCCTCCATGGCTTGTGGGTCTGACCCCTTTCATGATTAGGCAGCAAATTGACAGGTTGCCCTACAGATCTGGTCTTAACAGTGGAATGTGAAATAAGGGTATCACTTATAGACATCATATCTGAACATAAACATTTTCAATCTGTACATCTCTGGTAACCTTTATTCTTGTCCTTGGCAATCATTAAGTGTTTACATTACACTTTATGTTTTGCTAGGAGTTTTGTATTTCAGTTATTGATTTTTGGAAAACAACATGCAACTAAAGTGTTAGTTTTGAGATAATAGTTGGACTCCTGCTGGAGAATAAATTACTTGTTATGAAATAAATGCAGTGCTCCCCACCCTTGGCTGCACAACAGCAATACCTGTGGAGCTCTGTAGAAGTATAAATGCCCAGCTTATAGGCCACAGCTACTGAATCAGAATTTTGGGGGGCAGAACCCAGATATCTTTATTTCTTAACAGCTCTGAAAACAATTCTGACTTACAGAAGCCAGGGCTGATAACCACTCTTTTAATGCGCTAACATATATCCTCTTTATGCATTCATGTTATTTTTCTTGATTTTCTCACCAGGCTCGTCAGTGCTGTGATGAAGGGGAATGCCTTCTAGCTAACCAGGAAATAGATAAGTTTCAGTCTAAAGAGGATGCTCAGAAAGCCCTCCAAGACATTGAAAATTTTCTTGAAATGGCTTTACCCTTTATAAATTATGATGTTGAAACTCTACAGTATGAATTTGATGTAATTTTATCTCCTGAACTCAAGGTAGGAAACTTTTTAACTTTTAAATACACAAATTAAAAAATAATTACAGTAGTGGGTAAGAGTTTTACTACCTCACAGCTAACTTTATGTTGGCTTGCATATACACAGCCCTCTTGAGGATTAAGGGGGACAGTAGTGCCACTGTCAAGCAACAAAGAATCCAAAGGTGTAAGCTTGCCATATAATGAAGAGTAATTTCCTTTTTGAGCTCTGATTCCATTGTTTTTATACTCTTCACGTTCTAGGAGCTCTTGCACATGTTTTCTTTTGCATCCTTAGAGAAAGGATCAAAGCCGTTCTAGAATGTTGGACATAGTCAAGAGCACTGTACCTCAAACATCTTTGCTTTGTGCTGCAGTGACCACTAACAGATGCTCTGTGGACATAGATACGGCTTTCCTACTCAGTTAGAGAATGAAGTGGTAAAGATAGGATCTGAGTCTTCTTGAGGAAGGAGGAACAGGCAGAAAAGTTGGTGTCAGCAGGGTAGAGGGCTATAGATTCGTTCTGTACTCCCCTCTTGGACATGACATGAGGACTCTCTTCACTTTGGAGGTAAGAAAATTTGTGATGCTATTTATGCCCCTAAAATGTGTAAGTGGAACAGTGTCTAAATCCATGTTTAACTGAAGATCCTAAGGGATGCTCCAGGAAATCAGAAACATGGTCATGGCAGTCACCAAGTGATTCCCTGGAAGCAACCAAGCTTAACTCTAACTGCCTCAAAGCATCTAGGAGGGGCAGAGGGTGTATCATCCATTAGTGGTGCTGAGGAGCCTGTTACAACATAGAGAGCTGTAAAGACAGTGTCCTATAGGGTAAAATGTAACAAAGTACTATGCCAGTGTTAGTCATTTGATTGTTGTTGTAACTTGGGGGCTTTCTCATGCTAAACCGCAAAGGGTAATATGCCTTCTTTTCCAGCCATTATCCCTTCCAGCCAACAAAGGGGAAATCACTGTATGCAGTGACCAATTTTATAACCACTTGGTAAATTTTTTCCCCAGGTTGTTTTGGTTGAGATCTTGGTTTTATAACTACGTGAAGATAATGCATTAATCTGTTTTCTGTTACTTTCTTGAATTTCTTCTAGTTATATTTTAAATCCAAATCTTTTTTAACTGTCTGAGAAATATAATAGGGTTTGTAATGACCTCATTTCAGAAAACGTTTCGTTGAATTCTTATGCAACCTGCAGGTCCAAATGCAGACTATACAACTCAAGCTTGAAAATATTCGAAGTACATTTGAGAACCAGCAGGCTGGTTTCAGGAACCTGACGGATAAGCATGTGAGGCCAATCCAATTTGTGGTACCTACACCTGAAAATTTGATCAGATCTAGAGCTCCATTTTTTTCATCTAAACATGGTAAAATTTATTATATTCACTTTCTCTCTCTTTTCTTTTATTGCTGTTGTTTACTTTGTTACTCCTGATATAAATACTGAATTCATTCTTCAATGCTGAGAAATTAAAATTTTATTTCAGCATCTTTAGTTATGTTTAAATAAAATTGCACAAAAAGTAGGAGACAGATTGAGATTATGGTAATATAACACAGTAGTCAGTATAATACAGAATCATGAACATCTCAGGACTGAGTATTCCAGCCTTGAAAATGAGTATGAATATTTTATTAGCGTCAAACTCACACTTTTCTTCAGTAGGTGGAGGAAAGCATATGAAACTGGTTTACACATACATACATATGCATACACACATATTTCCTACTACTCTAGATAAACTGTTACTTGGTTTTGATAAGTTTCTGCTCAGTAAATGGCTTAGATAATAGAATGGGTTGCTTTTTCTAAATAGGTGCTAGTAACTAATTTTGTTGGTAATTTACCATTACAGAGTTCATTTTCTAGTTTTAATCATTGTAGACTAATTTTAACCATGTAATATCTATTTGTTTTCAAAGTTCTATGGGAAAAATAATTATCCTCATAACAGTGTCGAACTACTCTGGAAATTAGATGGCCCCATTGCCTTACGGGTTCTCTTAAGTTGCCTTGGGTCTTTGGGGCCCTAAGTTAGTAGAATGGGTGAATGTGGGACTAAATTTGGTCTCTCTGATCTAAATAGAATCAGAGACTTCATTAGTGTAGGGGAACTGCTTTGAAATTCAGAGGAGGCGTCAGTCAAGGATAATGAGCATAAAAATATAGCTCATCCCCAGCATGGATCAGATTAAAAAGAGGTGATGAAAGCAGGTAACGAGGCTAAGATGATGAAAGTTACATAGTTAATACTTATGAAATACACAAATATACTCACAAAGAAAACTATAAACAATGTCTTAAATGAATAATACTATATGAAGATAGATCAAAGATACTGGAATAAAAGAGTAAAAAGAATAAAATAAAAAACAATAAGGGGATAAAAACAAATAGCTACAAGAATAAAAATGGAACAGGTTAATATTCTTGAGCAAAATACAGACCTCAGTTAGATTTCTGGCTCCATTTACTGGCTGTGTGACCTTGGGCAGTTCATTTAACTTCTGTTAGCTTGTTTCCTTGTCTGAAAAATAGGGATAACAATATCTACTAACTTCATATTGTTGTGAAGACAAAAAAAAATAGATTGTGAACTGTAAGAAATACTCAATAAACTGGACTATCCCTTTCCTCCAGTTAAAGCTTCTCACCTTAATAGCCCTCTAAAAACTCAACTCTTCTGAAGGCGTTCTTGAAGTGGCACATCTTGGGTTGAGGAACAGGGTTTTGAGGAGACTAAGACCCATTCAAGTCAGTAGTGACTCAGAGTGTATTTTGTTTTGCGTCGCCTCATTTTTTTCTTTCTCATATTCTTATTTAATGGCGTTACACTTTCTTTCTGCAGTGGCAGTTGGACACTCTTTCTTTCAAGCATGTAAACTTTTTTTGAGAGGTACCCATCTTTATTATATTACTTTTCACCAGTACATTTTCTGAGTTTGTGTTCATGTGAAAAACCAGTTTGGCATCTAAAAACAGCACTTCATTCTTGCATTCTGCTTGCAAGTAACTTTTTCCTTTTTTTTTTTTTCCGTAATAACCATCCATTATTTTCTCTCAGTATGACACTTACCTTGGAAAACAACTGTATACAAAGTAGATTATGCTTCTAATCTCAATATCTTCATAAAATGACCACGTGAAAAAGAATAAAGAAAAACAATTGGTAATGTTAAGGTGAATCAGGCTTTCTTTTGTTTTAGAGACTCTCACGTCATCCACAATCCAACTTTTTGTTGGGAGTAGCTTGCATTTGCTTCAGTTTAAGACTGCCTCGTGTATTTATGAGAAGGAGGGCAACTTAATGAGTAAGTGGCGTGGATGAATAAATGATTCTAGCCATTATCCATTATGGTTTGTGAATCAAATCAAAGTATTATTTATGCTACAAACCTTAATCATTTTGCCTTATTGCTCTGTGAGTAATGGGTATTATATTAATAACAATCTGTTCCAAACAATTTCTTAAATATTTTAATTGCTAAGCCAAATATATAAAATTTGGTCAATTCAAATTGTTAGCTTTTCGTAAAAATGAGTCAAACTGTTTTTTTTTGTTCTTTTTTTGGCATCAAATATAATCCTGTACCTAACATAGTGCCTGACACCTAGCAGGATGTGTAACAAATATTTGTTGAATTAACATTGAAAACAGAGGCGAGTTATTGAGAGTGGAAGACATTGACAGGGAGGGGCAAAATGTAAAATGTGATTTGAGCTCCTAACTCTGTATCTCTAGCCTAGATCTTTCTCCTCCTAAGCATCAGACCTGTGTTTACGATTTGCCTCCTTGAATTTCCCGTAGGCAACTCAAACTCAGCATACATCAAATTAACTCATCTCTCTTGTAAACCTTCCTCTTTTCCTCATCTAAGCGAATGGTGCTGTGATTTCCCCAGTTGCCCAAGCTTAGGACCTTAATTCTTCTTTCTCACTCATGTCCTACCTCTGGTCAAAAAAATCCTGTGTCCTGTGAATTTTCATCTACTAAGTATATCTCTCAAACCCATACACTTTTTTCCATTCCCACCGCCATCCTTACTGCCACTTTCCTAGTCCAAGCTAATACCATCTGCTGCCTTGACAATTGCAGCAGTTTCCCTGTCTCCCCATCTCCCCACTTTCTCTTCCTTTTCCTAGGTATCTTACCTTGTAGATTTTGCATGTAGTGTTCTCCATCTGGAACACGATTCCTTTCCCTCTCCCTTTCCCCCTTACTGGTTCCTACGCCTCCATCAGACTTCCTGTCTCTAGGCCACTTCCTTTAGGTAAGCCTGTCCTCCCTCCCTCTCCTCCTCCCCTGCGCCCCTATTTGGTTAGGTATTCATGCTGTGTGATAACAGGCCCCCAGTGTTTCTTCTCAGCTTTAGTGTAATTGTCTGTTTTCTGACTCTTGCTAGACTGAAAGCTCTGTAAGGGCAGGGAATGTGTGCAATTCATCTTTGTAACCCCAAACATACAGCTTAACCTATAGTATAGGCACTCAGTCATTTTATATGTATTTACATTATTGAAAGAATGCATATATCTACCTTGCTCTTCAGAAAAATGTGTTTCTCATAAGTGGTGTATGCATTCCTTTTGCATGTCTTAATGTATTTGCAAAGAATTAATTAGTAAAACGAATAATCGCTCCCTAAGTTACCTTCAGAAATAAATTTGAATCTCTGTGTATCAGGTTTCTTTAAAATGGAGCACATCAGTATTTCTTGAGAAATTGATTTTATGTGGCAATACCCACTAAGTTTAATATAATTTATATATATGATTATGTAAACATAAAGTTTAGATATAAAAATATGTTTTAGTAAATGAAAGTGAAGTATAGAGTCGAGAGAACATAACAGCACATCCTTTCCCTGAGTGTGCCCGACACTGGCTCCTGCAGAGGCGGGAAGAACAAAAGGTATGTTCCTTTCATGAGGAGAGGCGACCCATGCAGCCTGTGTGGGTGACAGCCTTTTCAGCAGCCCTGAGAATTAGGAACTTAAACAATCTAGTCTTTGATTAGACCATGTCCTTGGCTTTGTAAGAACATATGAATTCCTTGCTTAATAGTACAGTGGCTCACTCTTTGTTAACCGAACATTTTAAAAAATAAAGATTAAAGCTTCGAATTTTTACGAAGTTTTTAAAAGCATTTTATCATGCTTTGGAAACTTTTTACATAGTTGTTAGAACCACGTGTTCTGACAGTAGACTATATGGACTTGAATACTACTTCTGATTCTTGGATGAGATATTAAGCTTAGTTCCTTATCTATAAAGTGAGGATAGAAGTCATTACTTACCTCTTGGGGTGGTTTTGAGGATTAAAAAAGAATTTGTATGCATAACACTTAGAACAGTGCCTAGTATGTAGGAAGTGCCAGATAAATATTAGATGTTCTAATTGCTAGGTTAAATTTTGAATTTTTTCAAAATTCTTTTTGATTCAGTTAATCAAAGAGCTACAATCTGATTAAATGTTTATGTGTCAGAGTGAACACTAAATCTGCAAATAATTATCAGCACTAACAGCTAGCTCCATGCTCAGCAAGTAAGTGAATGTTTGATGAATGAGAGAACGGGCGAATACATAGCAAAATCACGCTCAATAAGAAGTTGAAATCAGGTAGATAGGTCTAACCAATCACTGTCTTCTACAGTGTGATTTAAAACTACTAATATAAACATGTTGGAATATTAACTCTCTATTTAATAAACATACATGTGTTTTCATTAAAAGTGCTGTCTTTAATTCTGGTTTGAAATTCTTCTTTCATATTTCTCTACCAGGGAAGAAGACTTGGAGACGAAATCAGAGCAACTTAAAAGTAAATATCATTAATTAATTCAAAATTGACTTTATTGCTGTACTGAGTCGGTATGGGGGCCTTAACCATATTTTCATTCACTATGCTAATACTGTGCATTTGAGAGCCTATTTAATCTAAAAGGAAAAAAATGCTGCTGCTGCATTGTGTCTAATTGCCTTACTGGCATATCTCCAGATATGCCAGCTTCTCAGTATGAGCAGTTTCTCAAGTCCTGGCTCGAGTTCAGAATCATTTCTGTAGAACATCTCAGATAAGTTCCAGCTTCTCTTTACTGCCACCCACATTCACCTTAATAAACCTAAATAAGTGTCGCACCTTTCTACAGAAGGAGCTTTCTTTCATGAGCGATTCCAGTCCTGCAAAGTATGAAGCACAGAGGACAGGTTCTGACGGACCATGTGGAGGCTAACTCTGAGCTCAAAAAAGACATCCATTCATTTCTTTTTTTTTTTTTTTTAATTTTTCTAGAGACGAAGTCTCACTGTGTTGCCCAGGCTGGAATGCAGTAGCTAATCATAGGCACAATCATAGCTTATTGCAGCCTGGAACTCCTGGGTTCAAGCAGTTCTCTCGCCTCAGACTCCCAAATAGCTGGGACTACAGGCGTGCACTATTGTGTAGGGTCCATTCGTTTCTTGATTGATACAAGATTCCTTCCTTCTCAGTTATCCATGATAATCTGGTATCTGCAGGGCATTAGCCTCATCATAACCACAAGATCCTATATTTTCTTTGTGTGCTTTTTATGGTAAATAAAGACAAGAACACGTTTTTAAGGGGGCGGTATGGCATAGTGGTACAAATTGTAGAACTAGACTGCCTGGCTTTTAATCCAAGTTCCATCACTTACGGGCTGTATAAAAAGTTTTTAATATAATCGTTAGTTGCCTAGCGAATGGCCTATATTGATATACCAGGCTTGGTTATCATATTGTACAGTCACACTTCTGGTTTCAAGAAGGAAACAGGGTGGATGCCAATTCCATGGTCTTACATGTCTTTTGGTTCTAGCTTCAAGTCATGACACTTTAGCATTCCTCTACATGGATTTATTCAGTTGCATATCCCCAGGGAAAAATAATGAGGCTGTGGCTCTGGACATTTTCTTTGTGGAGTTATAGCTGGTAAACATAGTTCCAAACTGCATTCTTACAATTCAAGTCAGTTTGCACTATCCATAGGTATTTAAAACATACATTTATGTTTCAAATCGTTCTACACCTATATTTCAGAAACCCGTTAGGAGTAAATGGTGCATACCTATCTGTTAAGTGGAGTATGCAGTATTTTTAGTTTTCGTTATAGTATTAAAATGATGATAATGGTTGGTACATTTGCCAGACATAACAAATCAGAGCATACCCTGAATGAGGGAGCATGATAAAGGTAGTAGCCTACTGGCTGTGACACTTGGACTTGACTCTGTTTTATCACTTACTAAGTGTGCATCCTTGGCTATGGCATCCAAATCTCTGTGAGCCTGAATTTTCCTATATTTAAAATAGGGGAAAGAATGCCATAGCTTGCTGAATTGCTGTGAGGATTAGATGTAATGATGTGTGCTAAATACCTAGAACGGTACCTGCCTGATACATAGAATGGCATAATAAATGTTTGTTCCTTTCCACATGTATTCATTTTGGGTTTAAGTTGTCATAAAACAATACTACATTGACTTGGAGGTCAGGTAAGCTCGGCTGTCCCACATAGCTGGTATTGCAGAAATATATTTCAAATGCTTCTTAAGAGCAAATAACCATCATAAATCCCATGAAGTTCACTCAGTAGGCCAGTATAAGTTCTTTAGAGTCTGCAAAATAAAGCAGCACTTTAGGATCAGGGAGGCCATTTATAGCAACAATTGACATGTGGCAGAGAGTAGAGATAGAGATGTACAGGTTAATAGCTATTTTGAGAAAGAATAGATAGTTCTTCAGGTCTTAGTAGGCCTAGAGTGCATCATTAAATTTTATCATATTCAAGTTTATGGCGATGCCACTGAGTCATTAGAAAAAGGATCAATTATGTTGTGTGTCCTTGAGGAAAGAATTCAAGGATGCATGTAATATTTTCTAGAAAGATTTCCATGAAAAATCATTGTGGTTTAAAAGCTATTTTGGTTCTTCAATGGATAAACTTTAGTTATCTGGAAAATCAACTTTTAATGAATGAACCTTTTTCCCAAGAGTGCCAAATAAATGAAAAATTAATGTATAAAATAATTCTAATTACTATCTTAAATCTGTCTTCTTCGGCAACTCAAATAATTTTTTTACTAGTACATATCAAAGTTATTTTTGAGAAAAACCATAGTGTTATTTTTCAATTTACCTGCAGAATCGGGACCTAGAGTAAATTTAACTTGAGCTAGATATCCTTGAAGAAGAACTTTCCCTACATAGATGCTAATTTAATTTTTAATTTAATTATTTCAGATTGAAGTGGTGCATGATTGCCGGGAGCAGAGAAGTTCTGGTCAATCCTCCAGTTTGGACAATGCTAATAGCTTGGATGTTTTAAAGAAGTACTCTTTTTTTCTTTATTATTATAAACACACATGCTCATCTACCTGTAGGAGTCTCTGGTTCAGTGTTCAAGGCCAATGTGTTTAGAATATTGAGTTTACAGAATGGGTATTTACTGGGTGTGATAAAAAGAGCTCTAGTGCAGGTGTCAGAAATCCTGGATTTAGGTCTGGCTAAACAGACCTGTGGTCTGTTTATGTGACTTGAAGAAAATCAGACATTTTCAGAATTTTCATCTCTTTTTTTCCATCATAGATTGGAAAAGAAAATGAAGATTTTTGTTTAATTTTTTAGTTTCTTTTGCTCTTATTATTTTTAATTGACATAATCGTACATATTTATGTACAGTGTATTTCAATACCTGTATATAATGTGTAATGATCAAATCAAGCTAATTAGCATATCGATCACTTTTTTTAGCTTTACTGAACTGTAATTGACAAAATTGTATATATTTAAATTGTACAATATGCTGCTTTGATATATGTATATATTGTGAAATGATTACCATAATCAAGTTAGTTAATAAATCTGTTACCTCATGGTTACCTTTATTTTTGTCATGAGAACAGTTAAGATCTACTCTCAGCAAATTTCAATATATAATACAGTATTATTAACTATAGTCACCATGCTGTACATTAGATCCCCAGAATTTATTCATCCTACATAACTGAAAGTTTGTCCCCTTTGGCAACATCATCTCTTTTTAAAAAGTGAAAATGACTGAGACAGTGCATCAAAAACTACAAAGGCTTATATAGATGTACACAGTGTTTTTATAGATATTAATCACTATTTTATTTACTTTTATAATATGTTAATATTCTAGATATAAGAATATTCACCTTTTAAATTTTATATTACAGAGTTGTAAGTAGCAAGTATTTGCAGCAAGTTGTATGGGGATATATGGGGAGATACATATATACACACACTCACATATATATATTCAAAAACTCTTAAATGTTAAATGCTTTAAAATGTGAAAAAAAGAAATAAAGAAAAAGAAAGGGGGAAAAAGGGCCAAAGGTAGAAGTTAAGTCAAATGGATTACTTATACTGGGGAGAGGGAGAATGAATTTTAAATATGATGTCAATTGGAAATCATATTGAAAGGAAAATGTGTTTTACAGGGACAGTAAACAAAAGTATTACAGAAACTTAAGTGTGATCTACACTTGGAAAGACCAGTGTCTACTGCATGTCTTAGAAAATCTCAGAACATTACTGGGAAAAGGGAAAAATACTGCCTAAAGTGCAAATATCATATCATTTTTTTGAGAGAAAGACAGGATACCGAAGCTCAAATTGTACTGTCAATCAATCAATCAATAAAGCAAGCCTCAGATATTTAGCGATAGATTTTCGTGAGTTTTCAGTAAATTTATTAGAAATAAAGGATTTTCTAAAGTTAATAATAACCCTTGAGCACCCTTTCTTTCATATATATATTATTTCTTTTTTCTTTTCTTTTTTTTTTTTTGAGAC